CACGAAGGTCAAGTGGAAGGATCACCAGAATCCTGGAAGGAGTGGACTGGGGTCGCGGAAGCTGGGCAGTCGATGGCAAGGACCGTTTGTAGTCACCGACCGCCGGGGGAACGTCTATACCATTCAAGATGGTCGGGGATCTAAAGTAGTGAATGGGACGCAGCTTCGCAAGTGGCATGATACACCTGAAGTGCGGCCGAGTAGACCGGCTGCCGAAGCCGACCTGACGGAGGTAAATGAAAATCGATGGCATGCGAACGAGCTTTAAGGGGTGGAGGTGTGTAACGGTGATACTACTGATCGGGAGGCACGCGAGTAGTATGTTGTTCGTAGAATTTCACCTCGGGTCGATTGAAAAATGGAATTCTGTTGCGGAATTCGTGGGACCACTGTGGAACATTTGCTTGGATTTGACCAACGAATGGGTGGAGGCATCGAATCTCTAGGAAAACTCGTTCGGGAGATGATCTGCGTCCAGTTTTTGGAACTAAGATGCAGAGTAGTGTTTTGCTTCCCTGTTCAATGGTCTGTAACCGGTCAGTTGGCATTTCCGAATAAATAACTCCACAGCAAGGGCCTTCTTCCTTTCACTACCTGTTTGTGAAGCGCTACAAGGATCATGGCGTCAGATGTGACGTGTTTTTGGGTCCTTTCGTTTGCATACTTAGCACAACGAACGTTTCAATCAGTTGCCATGGTTATGACATGTCTGAATTGCATCCGCGTTTTCTTTTTAAAATGTGAAAGGAAAGCACCACTTTTAGAATGAGCGTTGCTAATTGCAGGCGCATGCAATAGTCTGGATGTATTTTATCGACATAAGATACTACTTCGACAGTCCAATATCGGTTTTGACCATCTTAGGGTTTATCAGGTAGACGTCGTCCCCGAGGTTTCAGTAGTCTCATACCTAGTCGGGATTCAGTTGAGTCACCAATTAGCAAGAACTTAATTTGCCAGTGAGTATATTTCACATATCTAGGGTGTACATCATTTGATGTGATAGGAGGATGAAGCGTTGGTCCGGGACTAATGCTGGATCCTGCTTCGGGGTTGCCTAAAGATCCGCTGAGTGCTACCACTTCACCATCTGCCTAAGCGGACGGTAATCCCATAAGATTCACACCACCTCTGTAGAGAAGTACTTATCCACAATCATAACATGTACGGATGCCAACTGCTGTTACTCAGAGTTCTTGGAGATGGCCGAAAAATGTGGCAAAGCTAAGTTCGTCTCAGAATTCGCCAGAAGTAATAGATGGTTTGTGGATTCTACTGAGGCATGAATTCAATCAACATCACTGTCTACGATGTTCACCATTTCACTGGCCATCTGTGCATGGAACTCACTAACTTACCACTGTTCCTGAAGATGTGTCTATCCCCAACCGGATGACAGACCCGTATAAGGTCACTTATTCTGACCTAAATTGCTCATCTACTTATACATGTGTGGGTGGTAACTCCCAACCCACATTCACGTTGTCAGTGATGCTGAAGTACAAAATAGATCAGTTCGACAAAAATGTATGAATTCAGCGTCAATCGTTGGTGAGAAAATATGATGCAACAAACTGGTCTGTCAGTAAGCTGGCTTGGGACTGCTAAGCGTTCAGTAAGCAATAAACTGTCAGTGAGTATATGAGTGGTACAGAAACCAGAAGTACGGAGACCCGTATGCCACATCCAAGACAAATTCATCTGGATATGTTCAAACACTATCTGAATTACTCACAAAGCCATCTCTACCGGGGTGGTATAACTACGTCATCAAACATCTCACTTGATGCTAGCAAGTTGAACCACAAATCACACGACTGATTTGAGTACAGGCTATAGTCCAACCAAGGCATCAAATGATACTCCTGAAATCCAGCTAGTTCTGTCTGATATCTTCGACGACACACCTTCACTCTGTGCAGTCCAACTCCTTGCAGAATTGGCGTGAGCACTTTCCATTTCCAAATTTCTGCGATCCTCGACAACGAATCCCAACTTTGAGTGGTGAACCAGGGCATTCCGGAATAGGAGACTTAGCTCAGTCACACAAAAAATCCAAAGATCTCGGGTTCAAACCTATTCAGATTCACACTCCCAGTGACGCCGAACAGGGATTGATAGGATACACTGCTTTTCGGCTGTTTAGCACATTTTGACCTTAATTGCAAAATGAAATCTCATTTAAATTGAATGCCGCTTCAGTAGGATACTTGACGTGGAAGCTGTTCAGGAATTCACTGCACAAAGTATACCATTTCCGGTACATCATGTTCAACACAGACTGGCAACAGACAAGACAAGAGGTTTTCTTTATCCGTCGTCACTGGCCATTTTGCATATGCACACATCAACGAACGAGTTTCGGTGAAGTTGATCGACCACCAGGTTGCATAGCTGAAGAAGGTCAATTCAACACAATACAACAACAACTCAAGATTTTACTGTTGTCCCTTTGCTATACAAAAGTGGTAGGGATTTCTTTAAATTGTCGCGCTTGTTGTTATCTATCGGAAGCGTTCGAAACCTGCCAAACTCCGATGTTTTTCAAGCTGGTAAGCGACAGCCTCCACATTCGGATATGTCCACTTACAACCCCACGTCAACATATGAACCGAAGAGGATTGTGACGCAAGCGAACCTGAACTTACCACTTGGCTATCACGCCCAGTTTCAGTACGTGTTCATCATCTACCGCAAAGGGACCTTGGGTATTAGGGTGTGTGATCAACGCATGACGTAAGAGAATAGGCTAGCCCAGACAAAACTACACATTCAGGTGTCAGCTTAACAGAACACACTCGAACTGCATATTGCCAAAATCAAACACTAAATTGCACGTTAGTACTCATCAAGATTTTTTCGTTGCTGTACTTCGACAGTGACCGCTGCTTATGTACGTGTTCATACCGCAAAGGGACCTTGGGCATTAGGGTGTGTGATCAACGCATGACGTAAGAGAATAGGCTAGCCCAGACAAAACTACACATTCAGGTGTCAGCTTAACAGAACACACTCGAACTGCATATTGCCAAAATCAAACACTAAATTGCACGTTAGTACTCATCAAGATTTTTTCGTTGCTGTACTTCGACAGTGACCGCTGCTTATGAAGTCGGCAGGGAAACTTGGAACAATGAACCACGATTCCCCCAGGGGCTTGTCACACAGTCAATTTCCTCTCCACTACAGCATTGCCCAGAATACCCAACTGACAGTCTTCGTTTTTGTGGTGTTGTGGAACAAACCTATTAATTTCAGGGTGGTGTGAGTGCATTTCGCACGTGCCATTTCCACTGTCTGAGCGAAACATCAACTGTAGAGGAAATCTCATGGTTTATTGTCCTTTTTCATCCAAGGCTTTCAGTTTTAAGATCTTCACGTCAATCATTGTAACAGGTGATCAAAGAAAAAGTATTCCGAGAACGCCGATTGACGTAAACACTACTTCTGCTGCATATTGACGCAAGCCGCCAATGCGAGTTGTTTTCATGCATCACATTCTATCCACGTACTTACACGTTCAGCTGCAACATCCTTTCGGTGCCTTGCTGCCATGCCACCTGAAGGAAGTGCTGAGGTACTACCAAGTTGTCCTAGACAGAAGTCGAGATGCAGAGGTCAGGTTCGAACTAAGAACTCTCCGGTCGGTAAATTCGCGCTCTAACCACTGAGCCATCTGTGTCGGTCGACTCAGACTGACAGCACATTCCCCATTATGCTTTTCCATACTATTTTCAGTGTGCAAACAACGCCCACAAAGATCACGGGATTCTAGCAATGTGAATGGATCTGAGCTTGATTCATTTTACAAAAATACAGTCCTTTAGAAATACACCCGTTTCGCGTGTAATATGACAACCGATCAATCCTTACGCCAGCTTTTTGTTTTCACGTCCACCCTATGGCTTGATGATTGCCAGGTAGTTCCTCATATAAAGCTTGAAGAAGCGTCTCACTTTTCTGTAGATGAAGAAACAAAGATGAGTTGTTCTCCTTAGCCTGCTGATCAAAATTATGTTCAACTGACGCAAATCCGCGTCTAGAGTGGAAGTAAGATGCTTATCTATGGCATACATCGGAGCATAAGACTTTGCATCATACCAGACCAATTAATTATTTCAGTATTCGGTGAGGTATTCCTCGAGGTATTTCACTCTGTTACGTCAGTGAGCCACTTTATCTATGAGAGTTTGTAGGTAGCTTACAATAAACGTGACGACTGTTTTTCTCCAAATAGTCTAACGACAATCACAAAAGCCAGACTCAGTTCGTTGCGCCCTTCGTTGCGATGAATTTCGCGATTAGCTTCCATCGCTTGAAACAGCCCAAGGTCCATGAGCACCAAAAAAACTTCCTACAATGTTTAAATTTTAGCGCAAAGCAGACCAGCATTCTGGTTTCGAAACCATCCCTAACTGCAAGTTTGTATGTCAAGAAAAAGGTTTGGTTCCGCGTTGATTTGGTGCAACAGTTCACTGTTGACAGGCCTGCTTTTCTGTCTCTGCACGTGAACCCAAACGCTGTGAGCTAATACCTCATTACATCCGTACTCACTCGTCGCTTCGCATGTATCGAAGGGACTGAATGGGGATTTGGACCTAGGAATGTGACACAACTCGATTTGGACACATGAATGTGTGCATATGCCAACCTTTTTTGCACCAACTATGGTTCAGCTACTCGATCGACATGATCGGTGATCCATCAGTGACTTGAAACAAGACATTTCACCGACCCAGAGGATGCAAGTACAACTCGTCCCCAAAGATGTGGAGTTGGAAGCTTAAGAACTATAAAAATGCCCCAAAGACATCTCGCCTCTGCTACATACAAATCTAACCAGCGTCACCGGGGTATGTATAACTTTTGAAAACGGGCAGATATATCAGAAATTTATACGGATTTCATCTGTACAAAAAAATTCAGAAATTTATACGGATTTCATCTGTACAAAAAAATTACAAAGTAAAAAACAAAATACACTACAACTGTACAATTGGGGAAAATGAAGATGTACAACATTGGTGTTGGTGAGCCAATTGTTCAAAGAACTACCAATCCCTACTCGCTTTCCGCTTGCTCACCAATGAAGAAGGCAACGGAATGGGAATCGTCAACCTGGTGTACATGATTTTGCTGCTGCGGGGACGTCGACCGTCTGTGGTAGAGGGGATCCAGGTCGGTGGAATAGTTAATGACTGGGACGTTCGGATCACAGGCAGTAGGGACTGTGCCCTGATGGGGTTAGATAGAGAAAATAGAGTGAGCTATGAGCTGAAGTAGTGTAGGGACAAACATGTGTGGACCGAAACTAAACCAGCGGCTTCTTGGAACTGAGGACTGCAGAAGCCATAGGCAACAGATTCAGTCGGAGTACAGTGAGTATTTATCTAATGGGTACCCAACGACCTCGATTAATGACAGATTAAATTAGGAGTTCCGGATTGTGTTAAAAAGATTGGGCACCATGTGGTGTATGATATGCGTGTTATAACATCCTATTGCACTGCGCTGTGTTTTGACGTTAAAATTTTCATGACAGAATAAATTGTTCCATAGCACCGCCTTTTCTCAAGCAATTAGTCTACTAATTGCATGGATGAGCTGAACCAGAGCGAGTAGTACGTGCACACATTAGGAAAGCTACAAAAATCTTCCGAACAGTTCATTCCTCTCGACAAGAGTGGATATAGCAAATCCGATGCACTGAATGGTGATAAATCCGACTCCAGATTATGGATGGACAGCGTGGGCTATGGCGCCTAAAATGATGGAGGCGTTGATCGAGTCGAAAAGCCGCACCCACTGGCATTTGAACGACTCCGCATTGCACACTAGATCACCAGCTAGACAATGAATGGTCTCGACGATACATGTGACGTGCATGCGATCTTTATCGTTCAGACACAATCTGAAACTGAATAACGCACGAGATCTGTATACAGCCGCCCTGTTTTTTCCGAATATCTCAGCTACCTTTCGACATAGAAACGTCTCTTTAAAAGGACAACGAAAGGGTGAGACTATAGACAACAGATGCAGACCTGTGTGGTCACTGAAACCAGAAGGACTTTCCATAATTGCATACAAACAAGATATTGCGTAACAATATTACAAGAACCTCAATTCGATTGACTGCCATTCGTACAGCACCAACATGCTGACCACTTCAGCAAACCGAAACACATGGTCAATAACACGCAAGCCTGTTGCTATCATGCCTGGGAGATTACTGATTGGAACGAAACCCAGGGTATCAGCTATTCTGTTCAGTAGTCGAACGATACGAAACGTAACCCATCATTTCACGAGACAGACTTTGAGTGAATCGGTGTTGCAGTCAATAAACTGGCCTTACCATGTGTATTGATAGACTTCAATATACTGTTTCGGGGCACGTACCGTGTAACCAGAGGAAATGTATAAAAACTACAGACGATATCCGCACTAACTACTGACATCTGGAAATCCCAGGACAGGCACACATCGATCCACAACCAAGAGGTGATGATCTTCTGCTTCATCCAATGCATGTGGTGCTACGTAACATTCCAAAGTTGTTGCACGCAGTGCGAAGTCCAACGCTGTTATTCACCAGAGAATCTGTAATCGAATGTACTTAACGTCATGTGTACTCCTACTGAAGAGTGTTATTGTGGGGTCTCGAGTGGATCACAACATACTCCTCATTAGTGCATTCAAAGCACGCATGAGTGATCCACTGAAATATCTCAACTGAACAAACTAGCTCAGGTCATGCAGAAAAGGAACCTCAGTTCAAGTCAGCTTTAAGGTGTATCTAGTACAATCGACAACAAGACGCGAACATGGTATGTAACCAAACTACGAAACTTCAACACAAACATATCTTTTGAGAGCAATCAGTGTGAGAAGAGCAATTTACCACTGGTACCTCACACGAACAAGGTAAAAGCAGACGATTTGTCAGTCTTCTTGATTGTGTCCTAATGACCGGTGGTAAGTGTTCGTTGTGCCAGTCCGGCAGATTGGTTTGTCGGGTAGGACCACGTTCAGTGGTGAGTCTAAATGCCACTTCTGTCAGCTCGCATACCTGAGCTCCATCTGATCGTGCGCAATTGACATTGATAGGGGATGCATACATCCTACCGGTCATCAAGACACACACGTACTACAGATCAGGAAATTTACTTGAGAACAGCGAAGTTGTGTAAAACGGAGTCAAGCGAGCGCGTATTCAAACAAGCTAAGTTGGATTGACTGTTACTAAAAGCAATTCGGTGTACGAGCTGAAGTTACGAAGAGCTAAATTTAATTTATTTATTTTGTCGACACCTCAATGGGAATTGGTCGTGTAGCTCGTTAAACATGGAAAAAGGACATAATCTACAGCCAATTGAGCTTTACCTAACCCACCCACGTGAAGGGTGGAAAAGAGCCAGAGGCGGTCAAAAAATGACTTGACAGCGAAGTATAAAAGCCATTACCAGCAAACTCAACTTTGCTGGTCATTGCCGTCTTCCTGGATGGGGACCCCGAGACGAGGTATATCAATGGTTAGACACTGGCAGACATGGTCCAGTCGCGATCTCAATGGCGTTCATGCATCCAAGCTAATGCCTTCAATGCATAACTCCCTTCCCAACCCCCACACTTAACAATTCACCCACATTGCTGCATGTACACACCAATTTATCAAATCACGCCTCCAATACGCAACTATCTATCCCACCTCTCCGAATCATCGGCGAACTAAACTGTGGCAGCTACAACCACTGTACGACAAGTACGCAGTTAATACAGCTGACAATGATGATGAGATGCAATTTTACATCAAACTGAGGGATGAATAGCAATAAATGGCGGAATGGAGCTACGCAGTGCGACGAAGGAGCGACAGAATGCCCACGACTGGGACCAGTTACATGCCGTGTTCCATAGGGTTTCTGATTTCTGGCAAAGAGGAATCACGTCAAGTACATTCTGCTGCAGACCCGCCTATGAAAAACATAGAACTCCAGCCTCAGTGCAAGTTTGTACCATTTCACTAAATGATGGGTACCCAGTCGAATATTGGGAACAGTACTTAAGTTCAAAGAAACGTAACCTTGCTCTTTGTGCTCAGACTACCGAACATCTACAGTTGGTGTTGTCTAGAACCTCCAAGTGAATATATTTCTCTTGGACAGCGACAAGAGCCCGGATGTTCAAAAGTCGATCGGTATGTTGGGTTAAGAAAGCAAACAGGTATTTTTGCTTGAAAAATCTGCCGCAGAAAGTGGAGATTAGCGCACATATGGAGGTAAAAATTGGCTATCCTAATGTCATTACTACTGATCCGGAGTAGGAAACAAACAGGCTCTCGATCATAGGGTCGCTTGCGAACAACGGAGGACCAGCGTGAATCAAACAACAGCACTATCAGCTGGATTAGTCCTATTCAAACCACGTACTCCCGAAAATCACACGTAGCTTCCAAAGTGTATAGGACCAAGGAAAAACACTAACAAGAAAAAACCAACAGGGCGTTTGTTTCGTGCTACGAAGCACCCGGACAATCGGGACTTCACGTACTTTTACCAGTGTTGCTGTCACAGGATAAGCCGGTCGATTCTTGAAGGACAAAAACATGCAAACAGGCAAACAAAGAGGCGGTAGGCCGAACTACAGTTTTCAGTGTGTTGTTTGGCCGGATGTGACCTAGCTGAAGATGAGGCGGAGGTGAACTGTGGGAGTGCGTAAACAATTTCGTGTTGATGTTGTTGTCTCTGTTATTATCATCGTCGCGATTTCAGGGATTAACTACAACTCAGCCACTTCGCAGATGGGGACTACACATTAGTAGGTAGGTGGGCAGAAAGGCGAGTCAGCGTGTACAAGAACGGCCGGGTGAGTCAGCTCTTCAAATTAGTCATCCGTGGCCTAAAGGCGAAATAAATCCCCTCGTGTGCTGCAAGCATTCTCCTTGTCCTGAATTAGTGACCGAACACCGACAGGCCACGGATGGAGACATGGTGTTCGTATGCTGGTATCTGTCAGCCCGAGGATACAAGAGTTAGTCGTTGATCAAAAACAAGGCTACAACAGCCAGGGAATTGTCGTCTATGGGAGCTGGGGAGGGGGGCTGTGATGTGACCTAAAACATCTGAGTCTCCGGCTGTCGCGTGACCACCAACGGATGCGGGTGTTTGCGGACGGGCACAAAGGAAAACAGCCTATGAGGGCAAAACAAAGGCAACCGCATAATATCTAGTGCGCGTGAAGATGAAGTCAACGTTCGAGAAACATTGAGATGAACTTTAAATCCACGGCGAAACGAGAACACAACTTGACCTCACCCCCCGCCCAGCTTGCTTCCCAACAACTTATCTGTGTGGAGCATCGCTAACGAAAATGTACAAAAAATGAAAGTGGGACAGTTTTGTTGGGAACCAAGTTAACATTGTTACAACCAAACTTCAGTGGTTGTACATAGATAGAGGTAATGTGAACTACGTTCTTTTCATTTTCGTAGGGTCTACAATGAAGGTTCGGAACACATCGCACTGTAACAGCGTGATGCGGTTCTTTCATCGAATGGGGAAAAACAGACTCACGGAAGACAGCAAAGCCAACTGATCCTCATCTGTACACAGCTCTCCACCCTGACCAGACAAACTGCTGTCATCTTCGGAGTCGGTCAGCTGCAAATCTTGGGCTACCAAATCGTCCGTCAGTTCTACGGTTTGTCGAGAAGGCTCACCAAGTGAAAACTGGGAAGGAGAACAGCACATGGGAAAGGGAAGAGCTGAGTTACCACAAAAAAAGAGACGAATCAGTGGAGGTCACGGTCACTGGAGCGTGGCACGATTTCATAGACAACGAGCAGGATTCGAATGCAATCAAGCTACTCACTAAGGGTAGTTCATCGGAAGGACCGGAATTCTCCGAAGTGCGGTGTGCTCCTCCCCCATGGGCTTTGTACATTTACGTACATTTACTCAATAGGAAATCTACTACATGAGAGTAAACGCAAAAAACAAAAACGAAAAACTTTCTTTTTAACTCAATCAGGAAGAGACATTGGCTTTCGTAAAACATTGGAAGGGTTGGTATCCAGGCAGTGTAATATATACTTAGTGACTTTACTTGATAACTTCAGTAAGCGTTCGAGAGCTCTCTGCGACATTCATCGCAGGACTTCTGCTGAATGTTAACATCGTTCTTTCCAGTAATATACTGTCGGCGAACACTTTATCTGTTCCACCAGAGAACAACTGAAAGCGAATATGATGGAATGTGCGAATTCGTTGTAAGGAGTGGATAAATTGCCAGATCAGCCATTTATTGTGACTATTTAAACAGGCGAAAGACAAGTCGGCTTAAGTGGATGCACGAGCCTCACCCGCGCAACAATCACTATTGGGTTGTTCGGTGTTTGACGTCTCCGCTCGTTGAGTTACGTGTTCCTGTGTATCATGTTTGTTCACGGGTCCTAATGTTCACCAGAACATCGGATTGTGTAGGCGCATTCGTCCGTCTGCCCCTGACGTTCGGCTGAGCTGAAATACGGGACCATGCCACGATGCATATTGACGGGGGAACTCCCGAACCAGTCTTTGTTCGGCTCCGGCATTTTTCTGTGAATGCTTTTGATCGTCTTAATTCCTTCTGGATAGGTCGACTTATCTGTAACCAACGGCATCCGTTTGCCTCTTTGGTTAGGACTTGTTCACGTGCCTGTATTCCTGCCGAGTTATGAACTGTGAGATTGACACATCCCAAATAAACAGCCTAGTCCGGAGAGATACATCAGAAATAGCAGTGTTTCTGGCACGGTTCCACTCTTCTAATGGAACGTTATGGATCTGAGATTTATTGATCTGCAACTGTTTAGTAGTGCTCCGTAGTAACAACTTGCTTAACAGGGAGAGGGTGGACCTCTTACAGGGTTTCATCTGTCGAAATCTTTAGCCGGAGACGAGAATGGTAGTAATTTCGCCCATCAATAATGGCTGTAGTTCCCCACCTTATGGGGATTCGGCGTCGCGGATGCTCCAATAAAGGAGTCTGTAAAACTCAGAAGGATATTCTATAGGTTAGGCTAAGAGTAAAAGCTAGGTATGTCTCTGTCCCCAAGGGTCACAAACGTAGGAAGTAAAACATCCCATGTTCATTCTGCTTCGTAGACAGTCAACTGTGAACACAGATACCATGGCTCGATCTAGCTGGTGATTGATCGCGATATGACTGTTCAACAAACAGCGGTTCGAAACAAAGTGGATCGGCTTGAACTGGGATTAGTGCCTATTGGGTAATCCGTCTCCACAGGCACCAGCCTGTTAACCACATGAGCTCATTCCCCTACAGGTTCACGAGTCCGAATGAAAACAGAAGCATAGGGTAAACAAAATCCGTCAATCGGCTACACAGTATAGCTTCGAGAAGGCTTTTTAGTTTCTTGGAGCTCTACTTTATTTCTTTTGCCCGGTCCAATCAAGTGTGCATAATGCTTGTGGGGATTCCAACTACGAGCCTGCAGGGATTTAAGAAATGTTTCCAAATTCGTGGCGTCTCTTATTCAGGAATTCCATTGCGTACATCAACCATCCCCTTTTAATTAACAGATTGGAGAAAATCCACCCAAACTTAGTAAAAATACCGTTTCAGACAACAGTCTAAACCCACTGGTTACATCGTTAAGGTAATGCGGGCGAAGACCATTGGATGGCCAGGATTCGTCTAGCCGGAATTGTGTGAGACGAGCGGATTGGAAAACAACTAGAGATGAAACTCGACAAACAAATACCATTATCATCGCCAAAATCTCGCAGCAAGATTAACGTGTCTGCACCGGTGAGGAACCAGCAAGCCAAGAACATCAAAACCCTCAAGAGAACAACAACCTTGACCTAGTTAGCTATTTTGTGTTGGTAAGCCAGTCGAGTGTTTTTGTTGTGGCGATAACACCGAACCAAATGGAAATTTGTTTTTTTTTCTCGGCGAATACATCACTATGTCCACTGATGGAGAAGACGACAACACAACCTGAGGGTGAAGTATATACATAAAAATACTATTCGGCGTGTGGCGAACCGATGATGAGACACTCAGCTTGACTCCGGAACAAAAAAACGCACATTCTGGTACTGATGCTTGCATCTCAGTAATTGCTACATCATCGCGAGTTTTACTAGTGATTTTGGTAAGGCCCAGCAAACTGGAAAACTACATCTTTTTCAGTTTAAAGCCCGGTTTGACGAGTCCCGACAACAATTTAACCTTATCCCAATGTGAAATTAAAAATGGTTCAGCTGTAACACCCTTCCGGTGCCTAGCTGCCATGCTACCCGAAGGAAGCACGAGGGCTGGGATACTGTCAGGTTGCCCGAGCCTAGACAGGGGAGAGGCAGAGGTCGGGTACGAGCCACGGACCTTCCGGTCAGTAGGTTCGCGCTCTAACAACTTGAGCCATGTCGCTCCCAATGTGAAGTTAGGGTATCCTGAGGGATTAAAACTATTAGCTCATGTGGAACACCGCGAGCCTCGTGACAGAATCCGGGCCGCTTGTTCAGTTATCTGGATGCTTAATGGATGCGTTGCGCAGACACGCACCTTTCAATTATAATTCAATAAATGGGCAACTCCACTCTTGACTCTGGGCTCTAACAATTGAGCCATGTCGCTCCCAATGTGAAGTTAGGGTATCCTGAGGGATTAAAACTATTAGCTCATGTGGAACACCGCGAGCCTCGTGACAGAATCCGGGCCGCTTGTTCAGTTATCTGGATGCTTAATGGATGCGTTGCGCAGACACGCACCTTTCAATTATAATTCAATAAATGGGCGACTCCACTCTTGACTCTGGAGTTGTTTAGTGTATGTTTGTCGGATAGGCCGAGAGCAAGAGACGGCCATTACTGTGACTACAGTGCCACGAAGCTCTGATGCAAACGGGAAGAATAAACAATAAGCTTGACATCATACTGAAGCAGTCAAGTAACTGAATCAAACAGTCTCGATTAGCAAGAAACATGAAAAGTTAATAGATGAATTTGTTAGGGACCGGATAGCAGAGACAAAGCCGAAGCAAAACAACAGACAGTTCCATGTGTTCGACTCGTCCGAAATGAGTTGTTTCATTGGGCCTTTCGTTCATTTGCTGAGGCCACAGTGTGCATAGTCCCTTCCATTGCAATTTCTTCATGCACCTGAATGACATTGTACAGTCGTTTTTGCATTCACCACCGGTAGGCCGGTAGCTACGCCGAGCTTCGTGTGAAAGCCGGCAGACATACTTGCGGGGCTTGGAAGCACACGGTACGTCAAAAGTATAAAAAAGATCAGCATGATTCACCATTCCGCTTCATAAATTCGATTCAGTAGTTGTCTGAGAAAATGAGGACTGAAAACTTTGGTATGTGGTCTGAAAACAATGCAGTGCAGTTTTACTTCCAAGATTATTTGCATACGTGGGATGGAGCAGTGTGACGTACAAACTGTGCCAGATTCTTTTGAGTAAACTAAACTGAAAACTCTCCAACAGCGCACGACCAGTTTCGCCGTTCTTGGGGTTCATCAGGTGAACGCATTCTCCGAGCTTCCGTCAACCATATCATCATTGTCAGCTATGATAACCACGTACTTGTCGTAGAGTGGTTGTAGCTGACAATTTCGTTCACCGATGATTTGGGGAGATGGGGTAGGTAGCTGCGCATTGGAGGCGGGAGCTGATAAATTGGTGCATAAGTACAACACTGTCAGTGGACTGTTAAGTGGGGCAATTGGGAAGAGAGCTACATATTGAAGGCAATAGCTTGGATGCATGAGCGCCATTGAGGACGCGATTGGGCAATAGTTGCTTAAGAGCATCGTAAAAACGAGGAATTCGGCTGGGTTCAGGTTAGCTTCCCATCCAAACCAAATTGGTATATAGGTAAGCGTATAAGTTAAATTTCTAAACTGATAGGCTAAGGACATAACAATACGTAGTTTCTGCAGGGAGGACGTCCTTTAGTGGGTCAGACGTTTGAGAACCAATTTTGAGCAGTCATTGTGTGGTTTTGGGAACAACTTCCAACAACCGAGAATCTTGGGCTAGCAACTCCCCACAACCGATTATTGTTTGACTTACTAGGTGATGTGGCGTTATATAATACCCCCCCACAAGCACAGAGACCAAATTTCACCTGTAATTAAGAACGGCAAGACAATGTTTGAAAGGAGTTAGTAGTGATAAACCGTAGTCTGCCTCGTCTGTTTCACTACATCATCTGCCTTGTTAAGGATTGAAGGTAAGGTCGAAATGTTTCTACCGACGTCTAGGAAGTTAACAATCTAAAACACACCGTATACAGATCTTGGGGTGTAGAGATGACATAAAATTATGGACTGGCGTAAGAGTGATATTGGAGCGAAGGTATTAGTTGGATGAATCTATATAGATCCAACAATTTTACGATAACGCGGCGACGAAGTTGTGGTGGCTCTCTTCACGTTATTTCTGCTTTATTATGTTCCTTCGGGTCTTTGCGTCCTGTTTTATCCCTTGAATTGCGGAGTCAAAATAGAGTTGCTATCGAGATCAAAGTTCGCTGTTCACCCCAATGCAGCTGAACAAAATCAGCTTGATCGGTGCAAATTAGGCGGGCTGGCAAATACGAAGGCAGGTAGCTTAAGGTAATGAGGGTGAAAGAAGAGAAAAGCTGTTCGCACGACCGTCAGTTCATCACAAATTACCAGAACGGCTTGGATTGATCAGCCGCAAGACCAC